AGCTGGGTCTGTGCCTTCTGGAGGATCTTGCTTGCTCGGTGTCCACCAACGGAGGATTTAAGTTGAAGGCTCTTGGGGATTATTGTTATAAGTTGCTGATTATTTCAAATCAGGAGCACAAGGGATGGACAGTCTTAATGGATTTCCACTTGTAAAGAAAGTTTCACTCAAATACAATGCAGCCACTCCATCTAGTGCCCCTGTGGAAAGACTGTTTAACTTAGGGAAGCTTGTCTTCACTCCACAGAGGAACAGACTTTCTGACCAGAAGTTTGAAAGGCCTCTCCTTCTAAGACACAATCATGGTTTAAGGGGTAAGATGGTCAGCAGATGACTGGGCTGACTGAGTGGATAAATGAATCCATGCATGGATAGTTTAGTAGCTAATGTTGGATTTGTTCAGATAATTCAGATTTTCAGTACTGTTTTAAAAGTACTTCATATTGTTAAAATGAYACTTGAAGTACAGTATGTCAACCAGTTATGTTCTGTTGAGGTGCAGTAAGTATTAAAAGTTTTGTGTTAAGTACCTGTCTTTGCAATTCTACTTTAAATTCATATCTAAACATAAAACCAAACAAACAATAGTTACTCTCCCTGGTAACTAATTACTTTGATAGTTCAGTTACTAACTCAGTTACTTTTTGGGAGAAGTAACTAATTACTTTTTCAAAGTAACATTCCCAACACTGCTCAGGAGTGCTTCCTGCCCTGAGGTCACCTGACCAGCAGGGGGCGTGGCCTGCCCCAACCCTCTCACCTCCTCYCGCAGCTCCTTCAAGCGCTCCTCGAAGTCGTACTCCTTCTGCTTCTCCTCCAGCTTCTTCTTGTTCACCTCGAAACGCTTCTTCACCTGATCCAGAGATGAACGCTCCACACGCATCGACATGCCCAGGTTCCTCTGATCTGAACAGGTAACCACAGGTAAACAGGTAAACAGGTAACCACAGGTAAACACAGGTAAACAGGTAAACAGGTAACCACAGGTAAACACAGGTAACCACAGGTAAATAAATCAATAAAAAGATTTACAAACAAAGCTGATTTTGTTTGATGTAAGGTTAAATATTCAGTTCTGCTCCAGCAGAAAACCTGGATCTTTAATTTGTTTCTTTTTTCCAGCAGGAAGTGAAAAAAAGACAAAGTTTTTATTTGTTTACACAAACATCAGCTGCTTCCTGTAGGCTTTTCACAAACTAACGTCACAACTCACGTTTCTTCCCATTGATGTGATCCAGGAAGTTGATGGAGTCTTTGACCACGCAGTCGCACACGTTACAGTAATACCTGCAGAAGAAGAAGAAACAAGAATAAAGTTTGTTTTGTTTATGAATGTTAGAGTCAAACAGCTTCATCA